AAGGAGAGAAAACTAAAACACACAGCAGGAACAAGCAAAAAGGGAAAGACAAAAGAAACGCCTAAAAAGAGAAAAAAAAATAAAGCAGACAGCAGAAACAAAATAAAAAAAGACAAAGACAAAAAAAATTAAAAAAAAAGAAGTTTCAGCTGTCTATGCAGCTCCTGATGAATAATATAAACGCCAAAAAAAAGAAAAAAAAAGAAAAAGGAGAAAGCATCAATATTATTTAATTTATATTTTATATTTTATTTTTATTTTTTGTTTGTGGTGGCTTCTAGGGAAGCCTAAAGATACAAAACAAAGATCTGCTGTCTATACATATCAGAATCCGGGATTAAGTGCGCTCATTTGCTGCTGTATCTGTTGCTGCTGCTGCTGCTGCTGCTGCTGTTAGAGAGCAGCAGCAGCAGCAGCAGAAAGATGTTCTTCTGCTGCTGCTTCTCCCCTCAGCATCACAACCGTCCTGGTTTTGCTTGAGTATAAGAAAGAAAACACCAGCATATACAGCTACACATCTCTTTCTCTTTCTCTCTATATATATATAATATATATATATATATATTTTTTTATAGCTGTATGAACATCCCCTTCTTCTTCTTTACAATCTGCATGATAGAAAGAAAAGCCCCAAAGAAGAAAAAGAAAAAAAAAAAAAAAGAAAAAAGGTTTAGGAGCGCTCACCACGTATCCTGCGTGCTAGCTGAATATCTTTTGGCATGATGGTGACCCTCTTAGCGTGTATAGCGCATAGATTTGTATCCTCAAACAAACCAACAAGATATGCTTCTGCTGCTTCTTGTAGTGCTAGAACAGCCGAAGACTGGAAACGTAAATCCGTCTTAAAGTCCTGAGCTATCTCCCTCACCAACCGTTGAAACGGTAGTTTTCTTATCAATAAATCTGTGCTTTTTTGATAGCGACGAATCTCTCGGAGAGCTACAGTACCGGGTCTGTAGCGATGAGGTTTCTTTATACCGCCAGCAACAGGAGCGGATTTTCTTGCTGCTTTTGACGCTAATTGCTTCCTTGGTGCCTTTCCACCCGTTGATTTACGGGCTGTTTGTTTTGTTCGAGCCATCTTTTTTCTTTTTTTTATTCTTTTCTTCTTTTTCAGCTCAAAATTTAATCCCAATTTATGATTCTGATCGCACCACCTGCATATACACCGCAATGCGCACCCTATACCTGCCTATACACCCCAACACAGGTGGGGGGGGAGCCACGCCGCTGCTAGCCATGGTGGGTGCCGCAGCATCAGCATCTCTCTCCCTCGCACCCGTGCGTATTTTATATTAATTTCTATTTAATTTATTCTTTTTTATACTTTTTTATGCACTAGCTAGCCATATTTCTCACCAGCTAGCCACATATATCCTCCTGCTGGCGACCGGTGTACACGCACCTTCGCCGGCCTGCCTGAC